CACACCGCCGCCAGCACCAGCACACCGGGGGTTAACTTCTGTCTGGTGCAGTGGCCTCTCAGCAGCAGCAGCAGCAGCAGCAGCAGCAGCAGCAGCAAAAGCTGCACTGTGAGAAGGGAGGAGAGGTGCAGGGCTGGGACAGGCTGAGTCTCAGCAGCAGGGAGAGGAGACTATTTCCCTGGCAGGACCCTGAGGCTCCACTCCTGCCTTGGGATGGCTGCCTTCCTGCCTCATGCCCGGGGCACCCACGCTGGGCACTCCAACGGTCACGGCCTGGCCCGTGGGCCAGGGGGCAGCCAGTCTGTCGGTCTGTGCTGCAAATCAGGGGAAGGGGCCCAAGGGCCGTACCCAAGCAACCAGCAGAGAATGCACTGCTTCCCGAGCACCAGGTGGGGAGCCGGACAGAGGGCAGACTGGGGAGAATGGAAGGTTCTTTGGGGTCCCGACCTCAGAGGCCTGGCCTTGACGTCCCCCTCCTTGAGCAGAACTGAGTCATAGGAGCCTCCCACGGCTCCAGGCCAGGGAGACACACAAAGCTCCCTGCCCTGTCCCTGGGCTGGCTGCCAGCCTGCCTTAGCAGTAAGGACCAACCAGAGACGGGTCACTGTGTGAGAGATGCATGCGTGCGAGGTGCTGGGCACCAAGTGAGCGCCTCGTCTCCCTTCTCTTGCCCTCTCCTCCAGCACACCACTGGATTCACAGGTAGAATTATTATGACCACTGCTGCCAACGAGCAGAGGCTCAGAGAGGTTAAGAAACTCGCTCGAAGCCACGCAGCCAGAGCAGACTTGAACCTGGGCTTGTCTGACTGGCACCGTTAGCCACCATGCTGCGTAGGAAGGTGAAAAAGCGAAGTTCGCCAGCAGGTGAACCTGGGTCTATGTGCCAAATCCAAGAAGGGCAGCCCCGGGACCCCCAGGAAAGCAAGGTGATATAGGCTGACAGCAGCATCCAGAGGACATGAGAAATGTCTGGTCCCAGGTCTGGGGATGAATCTGTGGCAGGAGGGACCTCCTCTAACTCCAGGTGCGTCCCCAGAGCAAGGGCACCACTGCTGGCCACATGACGGAGTGCCGCTGCAGCATTTACAGTGAGGCAGTGCTCAGCAAGGCTCTGCTAAAACCGGATGGAAACACCTCAGCAGGCATCACGGGAGCCTGCCTGGTGACCAGGAGCCGGAGAATCCCTCTGCTTCCAGCAGCATGACCTTGACTCCCCTCTCTGAGCCTATTTCCTGATCGGCCCAAGTTAGAGCATACCAGCATCAACGTTCAGGGTTTCTGTGAGGATTACAGGAGGTGTTTGTCAAAAAGCATTTGGACTGGGGGCACCTGGGTGGCTCAGTTAGAGAAGCCTCTGCCTTCGGCTCGGGTCATGATCTCAGGGTCCTGGGATGGGCTGCGCGTCGGACTCTCTGCTCTGCAGGGAGCCTGCTTCCCTCTCTCTCTCTGCCAGCCTCTCTGCCTACTTGTGATCTCTGTCAAATAAATGAAAATAAAATCTTAAAAAAAAAAAAGCACTTAGATTGAAAACCTTCTTTTTTTCTTTTTTAGTATTTTATTTGTTTATTTAGAGAGAGCCAGCACACTCGGTGAGGGGCAGAGGGAGGGAGAATCCCAAGCAGGCACTGTGCTGAGCATGGAGCCTGAGACAGGACTTGACCTCACAACCCTGAGATCACAACCTGTAGGGAAACCAAGAGGCAGATGCTTGACCAACCGAGCCACCCAGGTGCCCCTGAAAACCTCCTTCTAGGGATGCCTGGGTGGTTCAGTGGGTTGAGCCTCTGCCTTCGGCTCAGGTCATGATCTCAGAGTCCTGGGATCGAGCCCCACATCAGGCTCTCTGCTCAGCAGGGAGCTTGCTACCCCCTCTCTCTCTGCCAGCCTCTCTGCCTACTTGTGATCTCTGTGCCAAATAAATAAAATCTTTCAAACAAAACAAAAATCCTTCTTCAAAAAAATTGCACATGCACGTTCATAGCCGCGTTACTCACAAAGGGTAGAAACAACCCAAATGTCCACGGACGGATGAAGGAATGAACAAATTCCGATCTAGCCAAAGCAACAATGGACAAGTATCCAGCCACAGAAAGGAACAAAGCACTGACACCTGCCATAGCATGGGGGAACCGCGAAGACACGACGTTCGGTGAGAGAAGCCAGACACGCAAGGCCACGGATATGAAACGTCCAGAACAGGCAAGTCCACGGGGACAGAAAGCAGGCTGATGGTTGCTGGGGGAAGGGGCAGGGACTGCTAATGGAGTCAGGGTTTCTTTTTGTCTTTGTTTTGTTTTTGTTTTTAATCAATTGTATTTTTCTAGAGCCGTTTGAAGTTCCTAGCCGTATGGAGCAGAAGGTACGGAGATTTCACTAAAACCCACCGGGTTGTATACTTTAAAAGGGTGAATTTTATGGCATGTGAATGATACCTCAATTTTTATTAATTTATTTGTTTTAAGTAGGTTCCATACCCAGACATGGAGGCCAACGCAGGGCCTGAACTCACCACCCTGGGATCAAGACCCGAGCTGAGATCAAGAGTCAGACGCTTAACCAACAAAGCCACCCAGGTGCCCCATATCTCAATTTTGAAAAAGCACTTGGAAAGAGCTCAGAAAATGCAGCTCTCGTTACTACGTCCTTCAACTTCAGAGAGTCTGTCCTGTGATGAAAGAGATGAACATACTTTCACAAGCTCGACACCCAGAAGAGAACTGGGCAGAGCTGTCCTGGCAACCTGGGACAAGTGACCGAGTCGGGCTAATGGCACAGGACACGCGAGAAAGTGACCAATGGCGGGAGCCCCTGACTGCCATGTCAGCTCTGCACAGAGCTACTGAACGCAAGGCTGTGGGGAGAATAACTGAGGGGCACAAGGCTGGCAGGAAAGGCTTCTGCGAGGTGTAGAGGGTACAGAGCCCGGGGGGAGGGGGGCATGGCCACCCTAGCTCTCTGTGTGCCCCAAGCAGGTTATGGGAGGTGCTTTGCTTCAGTTCACAAACAGGAACAAAAAGTTTGCAGTAGGCCTGCTCTGTGCCCTCCCAGAAGGTCCAGACTTCCAGGTTCCACAGGCGAGAGAATATAGAAGATCAGCAAGACACACAGCTAATGTGGCACTTGAGGGACAGAGGCAGCTACTCCTCGGAACTCGGGCCTTCCTCCAGCCCCAGGAGGAGCTAAGGGCCCACGGAGGGACTCCAGAGGCTGGCCTGAGCCTGCAGACCCACAGGTGAGGCACCACACAGGCTTCTCCTCCCACCCATCTCCTGTCCCTCCTGCCTCTCCCCTCTGTCCTGTGTAGTCCCCAGCCCTGTCCAGGGAGAAGCCAGATAGTACAAATGCCTTGGAGAAGGGAAAGGGCCATGCCTGCTGTGAGTAAACACACACACACACACACACACACATACACAGACACACACACACGATACACATACACACATGCACAGCCCTTTCAGACTACACACATCTAGACAGAATAACCCAGAACCTACGTAAAGGGAAGAGAAAGGGAACTAGTAAGCATTGTGTCTCCTCTGGGCCAGGAAGGTCCCAAGGGATTTGCACGCACTATCTCATTCAATCCTTAAGAGAATCCTGAGAGATTTCAAAGATGAAGAAAATGAGCTTCTGAGAGCTTAAGGAAATTAGCCAGCAGGACACCCAGTAGGTAAAGGCTATAAAGCTGAGCAAAGAGACGCCTGGGTGGCTCAGTTGGTTAAGCGGCTGCCTTGGGCTCAGGTCACGATCCCAGCGTCCTGGGATCGAGTCCCGCATTGGGCTCCTTGCTCAGCGGGAAGCCTGCTTCTCCCTCTGCCTGCCGTTCTCTCTGCCTGTGTTCACTCTGAGAAATAAATAAATAAAATATTAAAAAAAAATTAAAAAAGCTGAGCACAGTGTCCCAGAAGCAGGTCCTGCATAGGAGGCTTAGCAGATTGGGGGTGTGGTCCGTTTCCGCCCACCAGCTGGCACTGGCTCCTTTGGGGGACTCCCTCACTCCCACTTCCTCCATGTGGTTCTAGGGGTGTTGGCCCTGTACCGGAGCAAGCTCCTGAGCTAGGCCTGTCCCTCAGCATGAGATGAGCTGGGACCTGAGAAGCCAAGGGGCTTGCTGGAGCCCTGAGGAGAGGCAAGCTGGGAGTTCTCAGGCTTCCGGAAGCACTGATGGGAAAGTAGAGCAACACAGAGGACACTGGGCCAGGAGAGGGAGGCCAGGGTCCCGGTGCCATAGCAGAGTGTCGGACCAGCTAGGCCCCTGGCCCACGCAGTTATAGGAACTGTTCACTAACTGGTCTCTGAACCCAAGTCTAACTGCAGATCTCTCGCTTCCCTGCCCAGTCTGTTCCCAGAGAGGATCTGGTCCTTTCGGGGCTGGGTCTCACCTCTCCCAGAATCCTGGGGTGGGGCAGTGTTGGACGCTCTGGGCCTCCTCCTAAAGCAGCTCCACCGCTTAGTTTGACCTTCAAAGTTGGCATCTGCTTGCAGGAGTCTGGCTCTCTCCTCCTGGAATTCAGCCTCCAGATGTCAGATCCAAGGCGGCAGCAGCGGCTGCACAGGGCTCCCCCCGGAGTGAATCAGCTGCATTCCAAAGGTGCAAACACAGACGCCACACCCTCGGCAGCCTGAGGCTGCAGACTTCCTCCCCAGGCCCGCCCGGCCCCCACTCCCGCTCCCCTCCCCTTTTTTGCCTCTTCCCAGCCAGACCAGGGCGTTGGGCTTCCTTTCCAGAGACATTCTCCTGGAACTGCAACAGAGAGACAAAGAAAGCCACTGGGGCCGGGAGACACCCTGATCTGCTCTGCGGACTCTCTCTCCTGCAGAGAGTGCAGACCCCAGCCGGGACCTGCCCCGGCTGTGAGCAGCGTAGTCGGGTCCCTCCACTCAGCAGGTACCTGAGCACCTGCTCTGGGACAACGAACAAGATGCCTACCAGCGCCTGGTGTCAGGGAGCTCAACCTGGCGAGAGCAAACAGTCCCAAGAGTAGGAAGAGCCATAAAGGAAAGACAGAAGGGCTGAGACCGACAACCAGTGACAGGGGGCGGTGTGGGGGCGGTTACCGGGGTGGGGGCCTCTCTCAGGGATGACTCATAAGCTGAGCCTGAAATCTCTACATCATTTCCCTAGAACCAGGGTAGTGCCCAGAGAACCCCGACCACGTAGCAGGCTACCATCTTAAAGCACACAATCCAACAGTTTCCAGAATCTTCACCATATTGTGTCCAATCGATTCAGAACATTTTCAACACCCCAAGACACCCAGTCCCCATTAGCATTTACTGTTCCTCCCGAGTCCCCCCATCCCCCTATCCCCAGTCCTGCTACTCGGGTGCCTTCTGCCTCTAAGGATCTGCCAATGCGGGATGCTTCGAATCAGTGGCATCATACAGCACATGGCCTTTTGTTCAGGCTTCTTGCACTCAGCACGTTTCCAAGGTTTGTCCGTGTGGTAACAGGCATCAGTGCTTCGTTCCTTTTTGTGGCCGGGAACACTCCACTGTACGGATGGACCACATTTTTATTTACCTCATCATCAGCCGATGGACATCTGGGTTGTCTCCCCCTTTTGGCTGCTGTGATCTTCCGTGAGCATCCATGTGCGGGTTTTCGCGTGGACCTGTGTTTTCACGTCTCTCGGGCAGATACTTAGGAGTGGAAGTGCTGGGTCAGATGGTGTCTCTAGATTGAGACGCTGCCAGACCGTTTCAAAGCAGCTCTGCCATTTGACATTGCCACCAGCACAGTGTGAGGTCCTATTCCTCCCTAGACTCCCCAATACTTATTACTGCCCCTCTTTTTTTCTTTTTCTTTTTCTTTTTTTTTTTTTTTTTTTTTGTTACAGCCATCCTTGTGGCTGAAAAGTGCTATCTCACCCAGGGTTTGACTTGCAGTTCCGGAACCAAGCCTGCCCTGTGGCTCAAGGTAACCCCCAACCCCAGGTCCCCAGTCCCTTCAAACCCTCCATCAGGTCCTGCTATGATCCATGTCACCAGGGTTAAACCTACATCCAGTCTAATTCAGCCAAATGTCTACCACTTGAGGGCTTCAGGTACAAGGAAAAGCGGGGAGGTGGGAGGAGGGTCCTGGTTTACGACCTCAGGGCAGACAGGGAAGAAAAGAGGCCACACGGGAAGTTTCCACAGGAGTTCCTATACATCCCTTTCTATCTGTGCCTCCACTGAAATGTAAGCTCTGTGAAGGCAGAGCTTCATCTGATCGTTCACTGCCAAATCCATGAGTACTAGTCATGCCACAAATATGTGGTGAGTGAATGAATGAATGAATGAATGGACAGAAGATGGAGAAAGAGAACCGACGTGGGGGCTCAGGGGTTAGAAGCTCCAGTTCTGAAATGAAATGGTTCACACCAGAATCCTACTTCTGCTCTTTTATAGCTGTGTACCCTTGGGTGAATCACTTGGCTTCTCTGGGCCTTCCTTTCCCCATTACAAAATGGGCCTAACGGAGACCATATACCTGACCATACACCTGGTTTTGAGGATTAAATGTGATAAATATAGACCAGGCACAATTGTGTGCCAAGGACTCTTACAGATGAGGTCATGTAACACCCATATTCACAAGAGCCTTACGAGACAGGATGATTGCCAGCTTCAGGCTCAAGTAAGTCTGTCGGGTCATAAGGCTGGTGAGGCCAAAAGCAGGGATCTGAACCAAGAACCCAACTCTGGTCAGGGGCATTGACCCAATGCTGCATGGCCCCTAACGAGAATACCAGGCCATCCCTGAGCAGGTGACAGATGACCTGGCCAGAGGGGGACTTTCCCATTCAGTGGAGGTTCCTGGGTAGTGTCGGGCTCTCGGCAAAGGGTGCAAGCTAATGAGGAGTCCAGCGACCCTTAATGCAGGACAGGCATGAGATGCTGCAAAAGCTGACCTTAAACATGCAGGAGAGGGGCGCCCAGCTGGCTCAGTCAGTAGAGCATGCAACTCTTGATCTCAGGGTCTTGAGTTCAAAGCCCACACGGGGCATGAAACCTCCTTTAAAAAAAAAAAAAAAAAAGAAAAAGTTAAACATGCAGGAGAGAGGTAGGGAGACCCTGAGGCTACATGCCCGGGGCGCCACAACCAACATCAACTGGCAACTCGGGTCAGTGATCAGAAAGACGGGAGGATACCCATCCTTTTATCAAGGAGAGCATAAAGAAGTCAGAGGTTCCTGGTGGGGAAGCCTGGCTCCTGACATGACTCCCTTAATGGCCGGCGCTCTGTTCCTCCATGAGGGTGTGTGGCCTCGGGACAGAGCCACACAGAACCCACACCAGCAGGACCACCTCAGGGTGACAGGTGTGAAGGGATTCCCTTCAAATCAAAGAGTCTACGGGAAGAGCTCCAATGGGTTGGCCTAGGGGGACATCAAGTTGAGCCCTAGAAAAATCAGCCTTGGGCGCCTGGGTGGCTCAGTGGGTTAAGCCTCTGCCTTCGGCTCAAGTCATGATCTCAGGGTCCTGGGATGGAGGCCCGCATCGGGCTCTCTGCTCAGCGGGGAGCCTGCTTTCTCCTCTCTCTCTCTATGCCTGCCTCTCTGCCTACTTGTGATCTCTCTCTCTCTGTTTCAAATAAATGAATAAAATCTTAAAAAAAAAAAAGAAAAATCAGCCTGGCACAGCCCAGAGGCTGAGCAAAAATACCAGGGATTCTCCCAAACAGAGATGGGCGTCCCCCTCACTTCTGCCTCTTCATCAGAGGGAATAGGTGGCCTAAGGAGAGAAATTTAAGGAACACCTGTTTTCAGGGCCCACAAGCAGACAGGAAGGCGGTATAGACCGTAGAGGGCTGAGGAGGTGAGCAGAACCGCCGACTGTGGGAGAAGCAGCTGAGAGGTCTCCGTGCCAAGAACTGGTTGAGGGGCAGCTCAGGACAGAACAAGGAGCTCAGAAGTAAGTGGGGGATGTAGGGCGGACTGCTCTTCTGGGAAACTTGGCAGCGGAGGGCTGGAGACAGGGCTATCGATGGAGACTCCATCATTTATTTTAAACAGGGGAGAAGCTCAGCTGATGACAGGGCTCCAAAGGAGACTGGAATGCGTTTAAATCCAGTCATGGAAAACAATTACACACACCAGGCTCCGCTCTGCTAGAAAGCTCCGGAAGGGGTTTCTCCTGGCGGCCTGGCTGGGAGGTCCAGCACAGTGGTTTTCCAGGTTGAGTTAGAGGACCACCTGTTAAACACGCAGACCCCTGGGCTCTGCCCCAGACTTGCTGGGCCAGCAAGCCCAGTGTGAGAGCCTGCTGGGGCTCTAAGACTCAGAATATTGCCAGAGAGGCAATGAGTCTCCAGGGAGGGAGGGACCAACTCAGTATGAAACAATGTACAGAGAGTGACTGTTCACCAGCCCTGGCCCACAGGGCTCATATTCATATTCATAAGACCGAGTCTCCTCTCCTTCTGGCATGCTATTCACTTAAGTCTCACGACCTGTCTCCCTCTACCCGGGCACCCCCATACTCACAGCCCACCTGGCCAGTGGCCATACCTCCAGCCGCCCCCTTAGTTCAAGGCCAGGCCGTGCAGATGGGCCCCAGGTACCCAGGGGTACTCTTTCATCCTGTGGGCCCAGCTCCAAGACCAAAGCCCCCAGTCTTCATAAGGAGGAAGCCCTTGGCTGGATGACCCTTCCAGGGGTCCTAAAATGCCTCTGGACCCACCTATACCAGTCCCGCCCTGAGGAAGAACTGACTGATTTGGCCTAGACCCAAAGGCCTGGGGACAAGGCCCAAGGACTGTGTAATAGGGAAAAAGGTTTACAGAAATAGCAGAAAGTGTCTCTGTCTCCTTTGGTCATCATCTCCACAGAGTATCTCTCTGGGGGGGGGGGGCGTCTCCAAGCCAAATAAAAGTATATCCCCTCTGCTGGAATGAATCAGCTCCCTGAGCCAAAGGGTTTGTGAGCTGGAACGGTTTGCACTTGGATCCCATCTCCTGCTACTTTACAGCTGTGCACTCTCAAGCAAACCACTTAACCTCTCTGAGCCTCTTTCTCTTCTACGAAATGCACCCCACAGTTAGTGCCCCCTGTGGTCCAGTGCCACCAGGATCTCTGACTGACTGCTGACCTGAGGCTTGAACACAGAAAGCTGGGTTCCACTCCTAACCTCAGAGCCACATTTCCTGCCACTGCCCAAAGGGCAAGACGGGGAGTTGTGTCAGGCAGAAGGGACGGATTGCGTAAGATTCACCATCCCTGCCCCCACTGAAAACCCACAGACCTTCTTAGGATTAGAGGCACAGGCAGATCTTCAGAGGAGCACAAATACATTTCCCCCATTCCCACAGCACAGAAGGAGTCAGCACAGCCAGCAGAACCCAGATTGGCAACCCTGAGGCCCCTTCCGACCCGTCTGGGCAGCAGCAGTCAGAGACCCCCTTGCCAGGGCAGACTTGGGAGGATTTTATGTGTACGTTTTAATTGCTCCGGGCTCACGGGGCTGTTGAGTGATTCTGCTAGTCCTGCAGTTGCTGGCGGGTGCGCACAGCCTGCCTGCCTGGCACCGCCTTTGTTACTGCTTGGGAGCACTCAGCCATTCTGGGCTCCCCCCTCCCCCCACTCCCAGAAGCAGCAGGCTCTGGGCCTTCCGCCCTCCCTCCCTGAAGCCACTTGTACCTGCTCCAGAGCCTGGAGGGGTGACAAGTGCTTCCCAGACAATGAGAGGCTCCCGGGAGAACAGACATACTCAAAGGCTCCTGCTGCACCCTTGTTTTGTGCCCTGAATTCAGGCTGGGGTTCAGGGCTCCTACTGCTGGGTATGCACTCCAGCAGGCTGCCTTTGGGGCTGATTACTGGCAAATAGGCCCTGCCTGCCCATCCTTCATTCCAGGAGGTCAGTCACCCCCCGCCCCCCATACACACATTCCCTTTAGTACTGTGGGAGGAAACTGAGGCCCAGGGTAGAGGACCTGTCTGGGGCAAGGTCACCCCACCCTGGGTCTCCTGGGTGTGTTTCAGGCAATGACATCAATGTTCTTGGGGTCCAATGCTGCATGACCTTGGGCAAGCTATATAACCTCTCAGCCAATGGTACTGTCCAGTCTGCGTTGTCCGGAGGCTGGATGGAAATTATATGCATCAAGCACCTAGTACTTTGCCCGCTACCTGATCAACACCTGACCCATTACTATCATTACTCCATCCTTTTCATTCTCCCCTCCCTCCATTCCAGCCACTCCCCACCCTCCCCGCTTCAGGGCCCCGTCAAACTCCAGGCACAGGCTTGTTCCCAGGCTTCTCCTGAGGGACCCTCCCTAGCCGCCTAGTAGACGCTCTTCTCTTCCCCGGCTTTTGTCCTAGCCTTCACACCCTCTGACACCCCGGGCGGTCTACTGGTTCACCCCGTGGTCCTTTCTCGCCCTGGAACGTAAGCACCCTGAGGGCAGGGCTTCTGCGGCACTGTACGCCCTCCAGCCCCTCACCCCCGTGTGCGAGCGCTGGAGTGAGTGAAGGCGTCCCATCTAGGGAGCCTGGCCCCGGGGCCGACCCTGCCCTGGGGGCAGCCAGCCCGACCCGGGGCTGGAGAAGGAGCGCGCGGGGTGTGGGGGACCGCCGGCCGTGGCTGGCGACGGGACGCGGGCTCCAGGGGGCGGCGCCGGGGACAAAGGGTGGCCCTACCTGTGCGGGGGGCGCGGGCACCTCCCCCAAGGTGGCTCGGGCGCGCGCCCGCGAGGTCACGTCCCGGGCGCGCCAGCCGGAAGGAGGCCCCGCGCGGGACGGGGGGCGGGGCGTCATCGGGCAGGGTACGCCCCCAGGGCGAGGGGCAGCGGCGGGGGGGCGGGGCCACTGGGCTGGGGCCGCCTCGCGCTTCCGCTCACCGGGGTCGATTATTCATATTCATAAGGCGGGTGAGGGGCGGGGCCTGGATCCCCACGACGCCCCGCCCCCGGGCCGCGGATCCCTCCCCGGAGGAGGCTCCGGCCCCAGTGGGGCGCCCCCGGCTTCCGCCTCCGGGAGGGAGTTTCCACTTGGTCACAACTCAAAAATGTGTCGCTCCCGCTCCTCCGCCCCCTCGTTTCTGCTCTGGGCGGGGGGTCTCCTCCCTCGGAAGGCAAGGGGGCGGGGCCAGGAGAGGGGCGGCTCCTCCTTCCTGTGACAGGTCCATTGGGATGCCGCAGACCCTTCCGTTTCTCCCTTCCTCCAATTTAGCGGGGGTAATAACACTCATTTTAATTTAATTTAATTTATTTATTTGACAGAGAGAGACGGGGAGAGCGGGAACACAGGCAAGGGGAGTGGGAGAGGGAAAAGCAGACTCCCCCGCCCCAGCAGGGAGCCCGATGCGGGTCTCGGTCTCGATCCCATGACCCCGGGATCATGACCTGAGCCCAAGGCAGACGCTTAACGGCTTAGCCAGCCAGGCACCCCAATAATACTCCTTTTTAAAACAAAATAATAGTTCTATTTTATTGACCGCTTATTCTGTGCCAGGCACTGTGCCTTTTATACCAACTACCTCTTTCAATCCTCTCAACGGTCCCACTGAAGTTAAGTACAACATTTATCAGGCCCAGAAGCTCAGGAAAGTTGAGTGACGGACATACCCATTATCACACTGCTGGCCTTGAGCTTTTTCAGAAAGGTTGGTACCAATGGGTTGGGGGAGGGGGTCAGGAGCTGTGCCCCCACCCCCACTGCCTTTTAGGAAACAGACTTACCTAAGGCCCTCCTAGCTGGCTGGGAGTGGCTGAGGATGTATCAGAATGTCCCATTTGAGGGAAAGCTACCACTGGGGGAAAGCAAAGCATGAAGGCAGGACAGGCTACACAATTTGCCTGACCCAGTGCAAAAAGAAAATGTAGGCCCTGTGTTCCAAAATGATTAAGAATTTCAAGAAGGTGGGGCTCCTGGGTGGCTCAGTGGGTTAAAGCCTCTGCCTTCGGCTCATGTCACGGTCTCAGGGTCCTAGGATCAAGCCCGCATCGCATCGGGCTCTCTGCTCCGCAGGGAGCCTGCTTCCCCCTCCCCCCTCTCTCTCTCTGCCTGCCTCTCTGCCTGCTTGTGCTCTCTCTCTCTGTCAAATAAATAAATAAAATCTATTAAGAAAAAAAAAAAGAATTTCAAGAAGGTGATGACAACATTCAGCCAAGCCTAGGCCCTGCTTAAGTACCAGGCTTGTGTGACTGTACAGGTGAATGTGCATGAAGCCACCTGATGAAGGGGCTCAGGGGCTCTTCTAGGACCTGAGAAACCAACAGGGACATCCCCACCTCCAATGTCACCTCACCCCCCAACCCGCCCCACCCGGGGAGCCTCACCTCCATGCTGACATCCAGGGCTCAGACTCCAGAGTTACAAAAGCTGAGCATTTCAGGTTCTCTAGCACTGGATTCCTGGGGGGTCGGGTGAGTCCTGTGCAGAGAGCATGTCCTGAACCTGAATGACTCAGCTGGCCCTTGGATATTCTCAGCGCCGGCCACGTGGACAGGTAGGCTGGCTCTCACTTGCCAGGCCCAGCGCAGGACTCAGTTCTGACTCGATGCCCTCCTTCCCCGCCGGAGCAGGGAGTGAGGGAGCAGCCAGGGCTGCTTCCCAGAATAAACACCCCACCCAGAGTCAGCCCCAGCCCTACAGGCACAGCAAGCCAGAGCCAACGGAGAGAGCTCACCAGGCCCCAGCTCAAGGTTAATAAGTCACCCTGATCTCACTCCCTCTGTCACTCCATCCTTGTTCCTGGGCTCCCACTCACAGTGGGTTGCAGGTTTCCTTAATAACAATAGCTACTATTTGTTGCATTCTTTGAAGCCCTCCTGTGCTCTCTGCACTGAGGTTCACACAAACTCATAATAAACATGATGATCGCCATTTCACAGATAGGGACACTAAGGCATGTAGAGATCCCATGGCTTGGCTAAGGTCAAGGGCTGGAGTTTGGGGATTGCTGCCATTCCTCCAACCCGGTTCCCGTTGTCTCTCCTACATCTGCGTTGTAGGTCATGGGGCTCAGTTCATGCTGTCTTGTATTATTTACTCTGAGCGCCTTGGATAGATTAAGGCTCTGGAAAGACAGTAACTGTGCTTATACCACTGAGTTTTTCTGGACCCAGCCTTGTGCATTAATTGAGGAGTCATTTACTAAGCATCTATATTGTGCAGGACGCCCTCCTTGCAGTGTGCATGTGTGTGAATGAGGGACTTGTGCCCCCTCTGGGTGATAACAGGGGAGGGGTCCCTACCAGACCGAGAGATTTCCTTGAAGACACGGATGGCAGTGCCTAGCCCAGTGCACACAGTAGGCCCTCAGTAAATGTTGATGAATAAACACACAATAAAAGCTTAATAAATATCTGTTGAATGAATAGGAACCTAGGGGATGTGTAATAAGTGTTTATTGCTGGGGCACCTGGGTGGCTCTGTCAGTTAAGCATCTGCCTTCAGCTCATGTCAAGATCGCAGGGTCCTGGGATCAAGCCCCACATCAGGCTCCCTGCTCAGCGGGGAGTCTGCTTCTTTCTCTCCCTCTGTAGCTCCCCCTGCTTGTGCTCTCTCTTTGTCAAATAAATAAATAAAATCTTAAAACATAAAGATGTAAAATCTATATAAATAAATAAATATATATATGTCTATTGTTGAAGGTTTAGGAGAACCAGATTGAGCCCGCCAAATATATTTGTCAGCAATTATCTTAGCTTGGGCTTCTATTAACAAAATACCACAGACTGGGTAGCTTAAACAACACACATTAACTCTTACAGTTCTGGAGGCTGAAGTCCAAGTTCAAAGCTCTGGCTGATTCCGTTCCTGGTGAGGACTCTTTCCTTGCTTGCAGATGGCTGCCTTCTTGCGATGTTCTCACATGGCTGGAGGCAGGGAAGCTCTGAGCTCTTTCTCTTCTTATAAGGGCACTGATGCCATCATGGAGACCCCACTGTCATGACCTCATTTAAGCCCAATTAGCTACCAAAGGGTCCATATACAAATAGTATAACATTGGGAAGGGGTGGTTAGGGCTTCAACATATGACTGTGGGGGGACAAACATTCATAACAGATATATTTATGCAGTGATATTTATGAAATATTTACTAGGTGACAGGTCCTGGGCAGGACTGGGCAGGACCCTGGAGGGGGTATGACAAAATGTCTTGTGTCCTACTCTTTGGGGAACTTGGGAACTCACAGTCTTGTAGGGGAGACCTTCCATAACACAAGGGAGGGGAGCAGGTACCAAAGTGTGGGAGCTCAGAGTAACGACTCTTAGAGGGAGGAAACCCAGGGTAATGGTAGGAAGGAAGACATCCCTCCTTACCCACCTTTCGCTAAGAAGGAGGAAGCCAAGCCTGGCCTCCCTGCTATGCTGCCTCCCAGAAATGCACAACGCAAAAAACAAAACAAAACAAAAAAAACCCTTTGGAGCCTGGTGCTCTCAGATGTCCTGAACCCCCACCCCAGTGGGTTATAACACAAGCTTTGGAATCAGATCAACTGAGACTGCAATCTCGCTTACACCTCTCACTAGCTTCTAAGATCTTGGCCAAGTTACTTCTCTGTGCCTCAGCTTCCTTCTCTGTAAAATAGGAATAATAATAGGACTCACCCTCAGAGTTATTGTGAATATAATACAAGTACAGCCTCCAGGGGTGCCTGGCTGGCTCAGCTGGTGGAGTATGTATGTGACTCTTGATCTCCAGGTGGTGAGTCCAAGCCCCATCAAGGGCATGGAGCCTACTTTAAAAACAAAACAAAACAAAACAAAACAAAAAAACAAAAAACAAAACAAAACAAAAAACAAATTCTGGTATAAAGAACTCGTCTGGCTGAGAATTGTGGGTTTCTGGTTGGGTCAACTCCAGCAAGATTATATAGTTCCTCACTCTTGCTAGATTTGCAAAAGCCAAATTTAGGGGTTTATCTGCAGCTAAGGGAGTCCATCTGGGTCCTGGAATTGTGGACACCAGGTAGTGATGGCTAGTATGTGTTAAGAATGTACTTCATTTGGGGTACCTGGGTAGCTCAGTCCCTTAAGCATCTGACTTCAGCTCAGGTCTGGATCTCCAGATCTGGGATCAAGCCCCCTCCTCCCCCTCAGGTAGGGTTTCCTGCTCAGCAGCACACACACACCCCTAGGGTACCCTGCTCAGTGGGGAGTCTGCTTTTCCCTCTCTCTGTGCCTTACCCTCTGCTCCTCCTGCTTGTGCTCTCTGTCTCTCTCAAATAAATAAATAAAATATTTTTTAAAAAGAATGTATCTCATTTCATCTTCACAACAACCTTAGAAAGGAGATACTAGTCATCATCCCAAGGTGGGAATCCCAACACAGAGTTCTCACCTGGGAGCAACCTGCTGGTCCTTGAAAACAAGTGTGTGAAGAAAAACAATGAGGAAGGCCCTCCAACTGTAAAGGTTTCTTTCTTCCCTTTTTTTTTTTAAGATTTTATTTATTTATTCATTTGACACAGAGAGATCACAAGTAGGCAAAGAAGCAGGCAGAAAGAGAGGGGAAAGCAGGCTCCCTGCTGAGCAGAGAGCCCGATTTGGGGCTCTATCCCAGGACCCTGAGATCATGATCCAAAGGCAGAGGCTTAACCACTGAGCCACCGAGGCAGCCCTGTAAAGGTTTCTTATGGTCCAGTGTCCCTCACGGCACGGAGGTCGTTGGATTTCCCCGGTTACTGATTTCAGGTCCGACTGGACTGATTTTAAGACCCACAAGGGCGAGGGCAGCTGGGGTGGTTCGCTCTTGTCTCCACTGTCGCGCACTGCCTGGCA